CGTTATACTTTTGGTCCTGGCCAGAACAGAGGAATTGCAGAGAAGAGCATATTTCAAGTAATAAATGTAAACATGTTGAAACCTGAGGGGGAGGAAGGTGAATTAAGATGAAGCCAAATATTCAGGTTAGATCTTGTTTCATCCGAACCAGGATATCCACCCCTGACATAAATGTTGACCACGGCTATTTTTTTGGCACTGTGTCTGTTCTCTCCCCACCCTGCTTTCTTGGAAGTCACTGTGCTCTGGCTCTTCAATTAGAGACAGATAATTGATGCATTGCAGACTGGAAAAAGCTTATCACACTGCATTATTTGTTCCACCACCAGAGTCCTATTACCACTGTGAAATCTATTTCTCCAAGTTTGAAAGAGACTTGGATAAAACACCTGGCGATCCCATCTGGGACTGTCGAGTCTGATCCAGGCAGTTTGTCATGGATCCTTGTAAATGGCATTGATGGAGTGAAGGGCTCTGTGTCTCTTTTGGAGCGAGGGATCCAGACAAGCTGAAGGGAGGTGTGGTGTGTTTTGGAGGATCATCCAGACTATGGCTCCACTGGTAGCTGGGAGCTCAGGCCCAAATTTCTGCCCACTGCTGATCCTTTTGTTTTGGGCATCCCTTAGTCCAGGCATATGGAAGGTGGGAATTCTGGGTATTAGGCTGTGAAAAGTGGAGGGGAGAGGCAGCAGTTGTTGCTAGAGCACATCAACACAGCGTACCTTCCGAGGCAGACCTAAAGGGTGGTGAAGGGTGGCAGAAAGGCAGGACCTCATATTATATTGGAAAGAAAACATCAGTGTCAAGCAAGGCAAGAAGACTTCCTGATCAAAGGAAATGTCAAAGGTAGGAGGATCCAGACCCTTCTGGAGACTCCTGTTCTTTGGGTGAGGACAGAAGTAATGGAGCTGGATTTGCCCCACTGTCTTACTCTGACAGCTGGCAAGATCTTCCCATAACCAGTGAGGGAAATACCCACAAAACACACCTCTCTGCTACATACCTCTGGGATCTGGTATGACTGCAAGCTACACACAGGCTGGGTGTCATGAAGCAAAGCACTGACTGCCCCATTGCTGTCCACAGAGCTCAGTGGCAGTAGGTTGCAGGAGAAGAAAATATTCAGCCATAGAAGTGATGTTGCACTGGCTGTGACTCTTTTTGGTGCACAACACTTGGAAAGCCCCATGAATCTCTTTCTCCTTGGTAGCCTATCTCTATGGAGGCTTCCTTGGGGAGGAGGGTTGTGAATTTTGCCTGGATTCCCATTATTGACCAAAACTCCTGCAGAAACAAGGAGCAGATCACAGAAGCCTTCAATGAAAATACCTCATTTGTTCCTGTGGGTTTGCAGTGGTCAGCACGGTGGTGGGAAAAGCCTTCAAAGCCATTTTCTCTATGCAGCCATACTGGGTATGACTCAGTGGAGATCACTTGGGAAGGTACAGATTACCTCTGGCTCTGAAATGGAGGAGTTATCACTGCAAACACAATTATTTCTAAGTGAAGGAACTGTAAATGTTTAATTACAGCTAAAATCCTGCCTGGGCCACAGCAGGCTTTTTTTTTTTTTTTTTTTTTTTTATATTGAATTTTAATAATTTTTTTCTTTTACCACTTGAAATGCTGGCCTGCAGTTTTACGTAATAACCTCCCTAATAACCCACTTTCCCAATGTCAATATCAATGAGATCATAATAGGATTCCTCTTTCTCACGGAGCAGAGTTTTTGCTTGCAGAGAACACGGGAAGCAGGTTTCACCCAGCAGTTAGTGCATCTTAGTTGATATCTCATTATCTGGCCTAAACAGATCCATATGCTTTACTTCATCTTAAACTGCTAATTACGAGACAGAGGCAAATCCTGCTGCCAGAGGCTGGCAGGAGAAAGATTGTTATGGCCGGGCTTGAGCTCAGCTAACAAAGTCTGTGAGGGGGATGCTGGGTGTGGAAACACACAGCAAAGAGGTAGGGAGGGGGTAAGATTTTATTCTCCCTGTCAGCACACAGGCAGCACACACTGGTTGTACAACTAAGAGCAAAACCAAAACCTTTAGGTCAGTCCTTTTCCAAGTCCTTCCCAACATGGAACATTTTTGTGCTTTGTTGCAGTACAAAGTTATTTCAAAGCACTGCTATTCTGATGTCCTGTTATTTTAGATTTAGTTCACACATTTGGATAAGTGTATTTGACCACTTGGAGATCAAGAACGGAGAATCAGAATCTGTTCCTCCATTGCTTTTTACTTCTAAGTCCAAAATTTTCGCCTGTAGACCATGATTTTTAGGGCCAGCTGCTCCTCACTGAAGACACAGAGGAGAATGATGGGCAGCAAACATTCTGGCAGATAGATTTCTATTCAGAAGAGTGTAAGTAAAAGAGCCAAGTCTAAACTCTCTTCATTTGGACAAAAAAAATGTGTGTGTAGTATCAAACCACCAGGGCAGTGATGAGTAGGAACAAGGTGGACTCTATTAGAAAGCGAGGAAGAGAATTTTTCTTCTTTCCAACAGCTGCCCAGAAACAGGCTTGTTTCAGCTCTTGCATGAAATGATAGATGGGGACTTTGAAGCCCAAATCTCTTTGGTTTAATTCCTCCTGCCTTTGGGACATGGGTGCTGTGAATGTTCATTACTCACGTTGGAAACATTTGCCACAGGAAGCTCCTGGAGCAGAGTTTGGAAAGCCATGAAAGCTCTAACAGCAGCTGAAAATATCAGTGCTGTCCCAGCACTTGCTGAATCAAATTATTAAGTGCCAAGATAAATTAACATGCTGGGTTTTTTTTTCTGAGTCATTCCCAATTTTACAGAGTCTAGTGTTTTCAAATTCCCCTCCTACCAAGAAAATCCTCTCTCCCTGAAAAAGAAACCCCATTTTGGTGGCAGCAGCTTCCAAAGTCTGGAACTGTGTTTTAGGAATTCTTGCTTCACACTCCAATAAGTTCCTTTCCATCTCACCCTTCCCAGTGAAATAACTTATTTACACTTCTTTAAAAATCAGGAGTTTCAGTAGTCATAAAGCGTAAGCTAACAAGCCTCTTCTGCAGAGCTATTAGTTAATTAATATTTATACACTGAAGCAACTCTCAAGAGCTAATCTATGAAGTGTTATTCAATGATGCTGAGCATCTGGTTTGAGAATTCCAGATTCCACTAAAATTGAATTAAGATGCCTGCCATTAAAGCTTCAAAATAAGGGAGATAAATACAACAGAAGCATGAAGCAAGGAGACACAGCTCTGTCTGGCAAGTCTGTGAGCTGAGATAACCAGGAGCCACCCCTGCTCTTTGGGGCTCTCCTTGACTCAACTAGGGTGCTGCAGGTGGTCATGGATTTCCTCAGATTTCACAAGGGTTAAGATCAGGCTTTGTTTCTTCAGATGCTCCATTCCTCACCCCCATCTCAGTAATACACCAGGTGCTGAAGACACATAATGGCTGCCCCTTGCAGCTGCAGTCAATGAAGCTGCAGCATTTCAGCAGATGTAACTTATTTCCTCTCTTTAGCAGTGCCTGTGGTGTTATGCCTTGCTCCTGTAGCATGCTGGTATGCTGGGGGCTTTTTACACTACTGAATAACTTAGCACCTCATTTCACTGTTGGGTCTTGGCCTTCTGGTTGGCCATGTCCTGGATTCCTAGCATCTCTTTTAGAGTGCATTGCCTATTTTCCCCTTCAAAGTTAAGCCCAGGTGATATTTGTGGGTCATTAGCTTCAGAGACTACTTTCCGGATGGATGAAACCTCCATCAGCAACCCAGTGGGCCCCAGGTGCTCATGCAACCTTAGACTTATGCTCAAAAAAGACTACTATAGCATCCTGCACCAGGAACAAAAGAAAACTGTGGGGGAAAACCAGGATAATTTAGGGCCACAGAGCACCTCAGAGGTCACAGAGGAGCCCCAGCCAAATGTTAAGCAGGATGGTCAGCCTTGAACAACTGGAGTGTGAGCCAGTCCCCTACATGGCAGGGCCAGGGATCATTCCTGGGGCCGTTGCCTTCAGTAATGTTGTTATAGCCACGTAGAGGTGAAGTCCTTCTCAAAGATGAAGGAGTGACTTGCTTTTGGGAGGGTTGGATGTGTGTGGATATGGATACATTTGCAGAACTGGATTCTGCAGCTGTGGCTTTCTAGAGGACACTAGAGTGGGTGGTTCAAAAATATAATGCGGATATTATTATACGTATATAATTTGATTCTTTTAGCGTGAAATAAGCCCCCAGTAAATTTATATTTACTTGGCAGTGAAGGTATAAAACTTGGTTTGGCAGTTGCATTTAGCAAAACACTGGGAACTCAGGGGAAAAAAATATTGCCTGGCTGAGTACGTTGAACTGACGCTGAGAAATGGGGCTCTGTGAATCTGAATTCAATCCAGTTTTTCAGAGCTACTTACCCAGTCTCCTTCCACTCTTGGCCAGCTAACAGAAATTCAATATTTTTCTTTTAGTGAATGAAAAGCATAGTCAGAAACAGCCATTGGGTCAGGATCATATGCAAAAGCTCCTCTTGTGCTTTTGTTTCCTAATTGCTCTTGGAAGGATTTTTCGGACTGGGCTGACGCAGTTGTGTGTGTGTGAATTTCCTGGCAAATAAGGAAGGTGACTGTGTCCAAAAGACATTTCAGAGTGTGAATTCACAGCCTTTCCATGTCTAATCAAGGAGCGTAAACCATTAGCCACATGTTCTCCATTTCTATCACATTTTTTCACACTTAAACAAAAACATGCCAAAGAAAAGGTGCTACATTTTAAAATGCCCCCAAATAGGAACCACGGGAGTCCGTTAAATGCTGTGGTCATTTCCAGCATACAAATCAATTTTCCTTGTGGTGGTGAAGTGGTGAATAATGCTTGGTTTGTTTAAAGGAGCATGAATGATTTTGGATGAAGTATCCTGTCACTTTGGCATTTCTTAGTTTTATTTATTGCACGCAACCGTATAAAACCTGGTACTGGTCTCAGTGCCAGGCTTACTAGTGGAAAAGCTGAAAGGACCACATATCTCCTGGTGCAGAAAAGAAGTTCTCCTTCTGCAAGGCATTTGCTGGACTCCTGAAAATTATTTTGAATAACATGGCAGAGAAGGATTTCATCAGTTGGCAACTACTGGCTTTATTTTTTCTTCCATTTTGCCTGTGTCAAGATGAATACATGGAGGTGAGCAGAAGATCTTATAAACCAGTGGCCAAAGTATTGCAAAGTCACCACCAGACTGGCCATAAAGGTTCCAGAAGCAGGGAAATATTGAAACAGCGGAGTCAACTTATAGAGTGGACTGTTGATAATAGCACTTCTGCAGATCAAAAAGTCCTGAGACCAGAGGTAGATGATGTAGAACTGACTACCTCAGATAGAGTCCAGGTACTCTGAATTAATCTTCTAAAGATATATTTTTAAAGCTAATAAGATTATTTATTTTTTTCCCTAAGATTATAAGTAATATATTTATGAAATTATCTCTATTAAAGCTGTGTGTTGGTCTGTATCCTGCTGGGTTGCTTTATAGGATCTTTTAATGAGCTGGTACAATCAGCAGTGGTTGGGGACACTGGTTTCAAAATACACAGTAGCCCTTTGCTTTGCTGAACCTGATCCTGTGCAATCATAAATTCTCATATATGGTCTTTTAATGATTTCAAGCTATTTATTTTATTTAATATATTAAATTTTTAGTTTCTGGTAACTCATTTGCATGTGGAGGAAAATTACAGAATTTATAGAGGCATTTGAGAAGATTCAAGTAGCAGGCATTAACTCTAACTGAAAATTATTTACATCAAGTATATTATTTTCATCTTGAGACAGACATAATGAAATTCTGAGTGTTCAAAAATTTTATTCTAAGGAATCACTTGAAAAAAGAATGGTAATAATGTAATGAATAAATTTAATAATATAAATCAAAGATAGTTTGAGAGGAAAAAAGACTCAGAATGAAGCTAAATAATCTGTTGTATCTGCATTTTAAACTGAGAATCTTTTCATGCCCTGTGCATGGCATTTTAGCTAACAGCAGAGTGAAAATGGCATAATTTGATTATACATAAAATATTGCAATCCAAATTTAAGAGGAAAATTCTGAAGGGCAGAAGATGAAGCATTTTCTAGCACTAGGCAAAACAAAATTCCACTCAAATGAAGTTTTTGTTGATTGATGTTTTTTAAGAAACAAGTACATGAGTTTATTGCTATTGCTGATACAAATGTTTCAGTCCTGTGTAATTTTAACATTCTTTTTTAAAAACTTTTTCAGATCAAATGGTGATATTTTGATTTCCAAAAATCATAGATAGGTAGACAAGTATTGAATAGTAACCTAATTCATGATAAGCAGAAAGGGGTTGAAGGACTGGAACACATCCAAGTATGGGAATAGGTTTAATACACCACCATGTTCCCTGTATTTAAATATTATATGTTTTGCATTTCATATTTCTTGGGCAGAAGTTACATGCTCCTCCAATACAGTCAGCAGAATCAATATTTAACTGTAGGTATGTTAAAGTGCACTTGCAGTCTCTAAACAGTGCAAACCATCAGGTTTATGACAAGCCAGGTAGTGTGCGTGCACCTCCCAACTGCAGAGAGAACTGTGCAGCTGCATGCTATTGATCATTTGTTATTGGTACTTAAAGAAGATTTCCCTTTAACTCAGTACAATTTCAGATAATGCAGGATTTAACTCAAAATTACAAAGTTTTTTTTAGGAGAAAAACTCTCCCTCACAGAAAGTGTCACTGTTAGGGGTGCAGGTGTCTCTCATCAGAGGGTTTAATGCAACATGTTTGGTGTTGCCTGCTGGGGGAGGAGGCTTGTGACATTAAAACTTAATCCAGTGAGTCTGAGTCCAGCTGATGGCAGTCATTTACCTGCCAGATCCTCTCTAAGCAGCAGTCTTTGCAGGGAAATGATGCAATTTTTGGCTTGCTGAAATGAAATGAAATGGAGCACTAGCAGATGCATGACAGGGATAATTCATCACAGGGTGGCTGATGTAATAGGTATTTTCCATCTCTTGACTCCAGGGATTTCCAGGTAGAGGAGGAACAAAGGTGGCACTGACACGTTTTAGTTCATGTCAAACCTCTCTCTTCCCCCTGAGCTATCCAAAGGGTATTGCACCCTTAAGTCCCTAATCCATTCGTTATTTTAGCCCTGGATGGAGAATTTCACCCTCTTGCTAAAGCATTTCAATTATTCCATTCCCTGTTGTGGAACAGGGAAAACAGCACTGATCTTTGCTGCACTGGGTACAAGGCCAGTTTCCATGCTGCTGGTAACTTACATGAAATATAACAAGCATTTCTCAAGCATGAGGTCTCTTACTGCCTGGGAGAGCCATACAGACACAATCTTCCTTTTCAGGTTGCTCTTTGAAAATCTTCAGGTACTCCTCAATCTGCTGGTGCACTGGAAGTTTGGCAATTTTAGTTTGTTTAATTCTAGAGAAGGGGCATGGGTAGCCTTAGTACCCGTAGACACATTATTTTGCCAGGAACAGGAGCCAAAAATGGTGGAGTATAGTACTCATGTTCTGCATTGTCTTAGACAATATAACAGAAACCTACAAAATTAATCAGGAAGCGATAAAGAGCTGGGTCTCCAATTCTGATTTAAGTTAAGGGAATTTTATAGACCGTGTATATATAGGCCTAGAACTGCCTCCTACATGCTAAATCATAGGAAATTCAGCAAATAGCCTCAGAAACATTCCAGTTTCTATCTCTATTATGATATCAATGTGGGTGATGCATTTCACAAGTTCCTAAATCATATTCATGTTCCGAGAGCAAAGCCAAAGATTCATTGTGCAACAAAATTTATATGCAAATGGCTGCACAGAACACCTTTGGCAAGTAAATTGTAATTAATCTTTGTCCCATTTGAGTGTAATTTTGCTTTAGAAACAGGTTTTTCCTTTTAATGTACTCTTCATGAAGTTCTCTGCTTTTATAGCTTAAAAGAGTATCCTGAATATTCATTGTTCTTGGCAGCTGAGAGTGAACATTTTTTTCCTCCTAGTCAAAAGATCAGTAAAAACAATAAGTCCATACTGCTTTATGACTTGCATAAGCAGTTAATTTTAAGTGAGTGGGATTTTTCCCATGCAACCAGGCTAGCAGAGTATATAATCTGCCTTCTCTTTTAATATGAATCACAACACTAACAAAAGGACTGAAAATAAGCTGAAAACAGGTCTACTTCTCTCATATTGGGAAAGCTTTAAACCATGTGTCCAGTGGTTGTCAGTTATGGTCTTCCTAACAACTGGGAGAGATAAAACAGCAAGAGAGATACAAACATGTTATCCAGGGACAGTCCAACAGGCCAAACTAATTTTTCTCATAAAATACTCATGTCATTAAAAACTAAGGTAAAAAGCATAGTATTGACCAAGCCCCCAGGAATATTAAGCCCTTCTGCCCATTGGCAAATCATAACATTCCCATAACTTTCTGAATTTGTTGAGCTGTCAGGTCAGCCTTTATCCCCATGGCAGCTTCACCATCAGTGGTTCCAGCTGGAGAGGGCATGTGTCTGTCCCATTGGAGGAGCTGCAGTGTTTTGGTGGCATGAAAGGCATTTTTTGTATCCAGAAACATAAACTCCCAAGACTCTTGACACTAATGAATCCTGTGGATGTGCTTGGCATTATTCAAGACAGGCAGAAGGCTCTAATGTTTCAGAGCAAGCGAGCAGATGACCTTGAGGGCAGGAATACAGCACATCTTTAAGTTAATTTGGCAGCTCCCATCCCATCAGAGGCTTGTTTGCTGCCATCACACAGTAAGTCTGCACTAGGCAAGTAATTTAAGGTTGACAAAGATGAGTGGAAAGAAAAGGAAGGAAGACAAACAGAATGATTAGAGAAAAGTAGCAGTTGGACTGGTGTAACAATCTCCCTCTAGAGTTCAAGAACTGCAGATTTGACCCTCAGGGTAAAATCAAAGAATTGTAGTGAAAAAGAAACAAAGGCGGATAAGTGAGAAGGAAGCAGAGAAATAACACCTTTTACTTATATATCAGCTGATGCATCAGAAAAATTGTGGCTGCTAAATCTTTGAAAGTGCCTAGCTATGAAATCCAGCCAAGATTTAATGAAACCTCATTAGTATAAATACAGTAGTTTGGGAAAGAAAACCACTGAAACAAACTATCATCAAACTATTATTACAGTATCTGAGCTGTGTATAATAGTTTATTTATGCTGCTATATTAGTTTCAGAATATAAACAAGTTTTCATAGGTGCACACTCACAACTGCAAATAATCAAATGTTCCTAACACCAGGTGCTGTGGTGAGTTCAAATTTTTGTCATGGCACTTTTTGAAGTTGTCACAACTTTAGTAGCCTGTAAATATGCAAGTCTGGGGCCAGAAACAGGAATATGCGGCACAGACGTTTTGAGCAACTCCTTTGGGCAGTCCAACACAGTTTTCTTCACGTTTAGTGGAGGGATAGTTCATTGCTGAAGGTCAAATGAAGTCCCCTGTGTCCTACTACTCATCGTAGGTTTGTTTGTCAAGAAACATCAGATGAAATGTGGGATCTCTGAAAAGCAGGATAGGAACCTGACTGAACTATAGGAACTGAACTAACATTCATTACTTGGTATTATTTTCTTTTCAAAACCCTCAGTATTTAACAGGATAAATTGGTTTTGATTTGGTTTTGGTTTTTTGTTGTTGTGTGTTTTTTTTTTTTAACATTCATATAGTTCTTAGAACACTTAAAGAGCTATTCCCTTTACCTTTCCAAAAATAACATCTCCAGGGACAACCCGTGTTTGGGGGATTTCAGACCAGATCAGAATTGTTTTGAAAACTTAGCAAACATATAAACAGTATATAGTTAAGACCTCGTAATCAATATGCAGATGAATGATGCCCTCCATGAATGAGGTAGTTCAAGTTTGTTTTTGTGCACTTAGCCCCCACAAAATGGACCACAGAATCCAGACTGTAGTTCCTGCTGCCGTGCTGACTTTGGAGTTCGACTCTACCAGGGGCCCCCTGGACCTCCCGGCCCCCCTGGGATGCCAGGTAATGATGAAGTCTAATTGACATTTCAATCAGTCTAACATGGGCTGCTCTATGAAATACCAGAGAATGGTCCAAACATCAGTACTTGGGGACAGGTAAAGAAGCAAGTTTTTCTATAATTTCTGGGAAGACAGAGGTTTTCAGTTAGACTCTAAAGACTTTTCCAGTGAAAACCCATTTGTTATTGAAATACAGCTTTAACAAATTCATAGTGAAAGTAAACTTAGTACATTTCCAGGGCAAACTGGACTTTCTTCTTAAAGCAGCATGAAACTTCTGTTAAAATTTTAAGGACTTGTTCCTTGGAATTGATTACTCTGATTACCTTTGAATATCCAGCCATGCTACTGTGTACTGTATTCAGGAACCTTTTTTTTCATCTGACATACCATTAGCCAATATTTTACAGAGACACACATGCTCCTGTTCTGTCATAGAATTTACTCTTTTCTTCCCTTCCTCCCTCCTTCTCTCTTTCTCTCTTCCTCTCTTCCTTCCTTCCTAAAGCAATGTAAATGAACATGTCACTGACAGACTTGTCTTATCTTCATAAGCTTATGTGTCCTGCTATCCCAATAAAAATGCAATTGCATAGTCCTTCTGTCTCACAAATGTACTGACAACAACAGACACGACAGATCTTGATACAGAAAAAAATTAATGTAGTGGTAGATTTTTCGTAGAAACTGTTTACAGCGAAATCTGACTGTTATGAAGTTAATTCTGAGTGAAAGGTTTCATTAATTAGCTTCTGTTGACAAAATACTGAAAGAAAATGTTACTTTGACATATTTTGGGTATTAGGCAAAATAATGCCATAGGCATATTGGGCATTAGCCTAGTGTAAGCTGTTCAGGTTCAAACCTTTATAAAAATACAATTGACCATACCAGAAGTAAACTAGACCTAGTAGTGAGGCCTCTTGTGCAGAAATACTGCATTACATATTAATAAAATATTGGCTATTAAGAAACGGGACAATTTGGCATTAGACTCACATTTCCAAGACTGCAATGGACACACAACCCAGTCCTGGGTTTGCCCTTTCCTCACATGAGGATGCATCTCAGTCACATTTCTTATCCCCACAGGATGCTACAAACATATGGCCAACAGAAATGTTCGTTGCCCTGGAATTTCTCTGTCTTCTTCATCTGCTGCATTTCACATAATTGTGCCCATAAGAAACAACATCAGCTGGTGTTCCCTTGATTGAATCAAACGTTGCTTGGAGACTTCTCCTCTGGATGGGCAGAGAAGTCATTCTGGCTTTAAATGAAGGATCAATCCTGTTATTTTAATAATTATTGGTTTCTCTATCCAAATAAAAATCTGCTTAGATTTTTCCACCATTTAGCTTCTTAGTTTGAAGTAGTTTTTTTCCTTGATACAAAATCTCTGAAGAATCATTTAATAATTAGATTTGAACTCAAACACCACCACTGTTCTTGTAAATTCATAAACAGAGTGGCTAATCAGAGAACAAGCTGAGTGGCAAAGAGTCAGATTTTTAATCCAGGTGGTGTTAGAATAATGCTGATTGTCATTAATCCGCTGAATTGGAAGGTTACGCTTTTGCTTCAGGGAAGGCATAATGATTGCCCTGTGATTTCAGCCAACTTTAAAATTTTTGTCAGTCACATAGATGTTTGCTCAGTAATTTCCTCAGTAAACATCAGGAAGTAATACTGCAGATGCAGGAACATGGTTTTTATAGTGACGCTTTTTACAAGAAGCCATCTCACAAAATCTTCAGGATAAAAATTTTGTCTTTCTTTAAATCTAGGAACTTGCAATCAGTCAAGCCCTTCAAGCCAATGAGCACCCTGAGAGTGCACACTGTCCCATTTTTGGCATAGATGGGTCCTTTATCTAGCTTCAGGGTACAGGCATTTTCCATTTGTGTAGACATGTTTTAAAAATAACAAAATGTTATTCAGAATTATCTGATCCTATCCTACAAATCAACAAACAACTTTTTACACAAAAGGAAAAGCAATAGTGCTTGTGCAGGCTATCTGGTATGTGTCAATATGCAGTGGCATATCTGGTATGTGGCAATATGCAGTTCACTGAGGTTTCACTTGCATGTCTCTCCTCTCTCCCCAGCAATGCAAGGACTTGAGACATCAGCAGTTTGCACAACACCAAGATAGCATGAAGGTTAACTCCTAAGTATCAGTCTACCTCCTTCTGGAAACTTGCTCATCAAAACCTTCACCTTCAGCTTAACTACACAGCTGTTTCTTATCCATTGCAGCTCAATATGGGTTTTATGCTGCTGAAAAGTCCACGTGTTGCAAACTGGTGGAAAAGGACCCTGTCACAGCTATCTGCTAAAATATATTATATTAAATTATATTATATTAAATTAAATTATATTAAATTATTTATGTTAAACTGCAAGTTCTTCTTCCTTTAAGGAAATCATGGAAACAATGGGAATAATGGAGCAACTGGCCAGGAAGGAGCCAAGGGTGAGAAGGGAGACAAAGGAGATATGGGACCAAGGGGAGAGCGTGGCCATCATGGACCCAAAGGCGAGAAGGGTTACCCTGGGATTCCCCCAGAGCTACAGGTACAAGACCTTTGGCTTGTGTTGGCTGCAGCAGTTCTCAGGTTATGTTTTCTTCTCTGAAAAACAGCACCTAACTACTGTAAACTGTAACTACTCTACTGTTAAGCAGTAAATCCCCCTGTAAATTAATATAGTGAGAGACATACATAGCTCTTGTCATGACTGACAGATATTCTTTGCCAGATCTTCCTGAAAAAGAAAAACATCAGGGCTTAGTCTTTCTTTAGAGTAAGAATCTAATGGAGAAATCAGAAGGAAGAAACACAGATGGTTCCCTTGTAGGGAACCCAGTACCTGGGTCATTAAAGGAGAAGAGTGGAGACTATAATTTTTTATCAAGCTGTATCACACACATAACTATGCTTCCTATGGCATATGACAAGAATAAAGGGGTCACTCAGGCCCATGCTTCTCAGGTCAGTCAGGCTTCGAGAGATTCTCAGAAGCATATGTATCCAGCTCCTCAAAGGATGGGATAAAAAACCCTGAGCACAGACAGAAGTCCCCTGGTTTTGAAAAATACCCCTCAGTAGCCATCTGTGGCTTTGTATGCCTAGATACCTTAAATATATGGATAAACGTAGCTTCTGCCTATAAATGAACTACCCAAAAGCCACAAAAGAATTAAAACAGAAGTTAAACCCTGATCTGATAAGAATGAGGGATGGGATATATTCATTTGGGCTCAAGATTATGTTGACCTAGTCCCATAGCTTTTGCATTAGAGCTTCTTCACATCCCAGAAATCTGGCAGGTGGCAGAGAGCAGGTATGTGTATATACATACACACCTGCAGTACAGTGGAGACCTGGTGCTGCCCTGTTCTCAAGGCAATAGAAAGTAAATGCAGCTTGTGTAACTAAGACTCCTGGTTGCTGTTGCAAAAGGGATTTAAAAGAGTTGTCCGCACTATACACTGTAGTGTCGCAATATATGAGCAATAGCAGGAAGACTTGAGTCTGTGACTGTAGCATAGCTCAGGTGCTAAAGACAAGACCTGGATGCATGACAAGCCTTTGAGATGTACCCCTCCTGGTCTCCAGATGCCACTGTGGAGTGAGTTTCTGTAGGTCCCACCAGCCAGCCCTGTGTGGGGGAGCCCTGAAGCACTTCAGCTGGCACTAGATGCGTGAGCAAGTGGCTGCAGTCAGATACAGCTCCAGAGAGCCTTCATGTGAGGGAGGGACCTGAGCTCCCATTACAATTACTGAGGATCTGGAAGAGCAACTGAGCTGAATCTGGCTGTCATTGCTGGTTTTGGGCAAACAGGACTTCAGACACCATAGACTATACAGATGTCCAGAAGGTATATGGGAGTTTACATCCTCCCTCACACGTACACACTTTAATGGAAGTGTTTTACTCCTGAGCTGATTCATATCCCCCAAACCAATTTTGCTGCAGCAGGAAAAAAATGGGATATAGCACACACAAAACATGGACAAAAAGAAAACCCACTTCCAAACACTATGATTATGGGGAAAACTGAAGCTCTGATTTACCTACAGACCTTCACTTTTTAACTGAAGTTAAATACTATTACTATTTCCCAATAACAGTCATTTTAATATGTTTTATATCCTTACAAAAGGCATGCAAACTAACAGAAAAATTAACAGTACAACCAACATGTGCAGTGTGGGAAAACGGGTTTGGATTTCTCAGCATTGCCTAGGTTTGAATTCTCCACCCTGGGCTGCATGGGGATGGGATAAATCCACAGAACAAAATTCGCAATTAATTTTTTTTCAAAAATTACTGGACTTCTGTAATACAGCAGAAGTATTTTAGTATTCTTAAAGATTTAACTGAAATTAGCATTATAGCTGAATATCTTAAAAAAATATTTGTTGTAGTTGTGTTCAACATAAATGCTTTCGCAATTATAAAATGAGCTATCAGTATTTTTTGTCACATAAAGATAATGGTAGTAATTTAATAAAAAACTGAAAAATTAAAGAGGCTGAACAACAGAAGCTTATATAGCAATACCTATTTTCGAGTAAAATTCCACCACTGTTCTAGCAGATGTGTTTAAAAATCCTTTACACAGTATAGAAACATAATTTCTTGTTAATACCATGCCGAAGAATTTTAGAGTGGGGGGTAGATAAAGGAGAAGACACTTCTGAGTAGAATACTGCTTTAAGTGAAGGATTATTTGAAAAGACTTAGTGTGTCCATATTGATCTCCTACTTCAAGATGTGACCCAGGGAGAAAGATCATCTTTTTCAACTCTTTTCATCAGCCAAGAAAAGAGAGTGTGAAATGGAATCTAGACAAAAAGCAACAAATTCCATCAAGCTGCCATTGCAGCTGCTTTCCTTTAACACATGATGAACTTTGATGTGATCCTGGCTGAGGAGCAAGAAGTTAAAAAATTGCCATCACAGCAAATGCAGCCACAGAGGGATAAGAAAAAGCAGCCTGAGCTTTCAGCTCACATCTGGAGCTCCTCAAATTTGTGAACAGATGGCTGATGATTGCCATTGTTGGATCCAGGCTTGCATTTGATTATGCCTGTTTTGGTTTTGTTCTCAATTGGATCTGAAATCAAAAGAAGTTTGGGGTGTTTTGTTATTTTAATACCAGTATAGCTGGAATCTCACAAAAGATGTAATTTTTGTGAGGGGCTGTAACAACTGTAATTGAGCAGTTCTCAGCTAAGCAGACAGAGATGAAATGCCAAGTCACTATGTGACCTTCATGGATCCGGGTGCAGCAATTCTGCCTGCATTCCATTAACTATCACTCAGATGTGAGGATCACAGACATGCAGAGGACATTACCCCCTTCCCTGCACACACAAGTGCTCAGGGTCATTCCCTGTTATCCTGCTGAAGGTGGTTTGGATTATCCAATGGGGGAGTTTTTGCACTGCTTGCTATGGAACCTCTTCCATGGCCAATACCTCTCACTGCAAGAGATGTGACATGAAGTCAAAGCACTTTTCGCTTTCTTAGCTCCCTCTTTTGGTCACTACTCTCTGCTGTTGTGACTGAGGGTACAGGGCAACTGATAAGAGAGAAAAATCACTGAAAGTTGAGTTCCACCAACTGCACCTCTAGAGGGCTTCTACATGATTAATGTATCTCTGAAGGTAGTTAGCAAGAACACTAATGTGTATGGACTTTACTGAGCATTATTTATTTCACATATTCATTTAAAAGCAATATCCAGTCTAAATGCATTGGGGAATATATAAAAAGTAATTAAATCACTTTGTCAGAAACACCATCCATTTCAAAGCCAGTTTTATGTTGAATTATCCTAGAGAGACTTAAAAGTAAATAAAACCCCAGATGAAGGTCCTGACCTGCAAACACTTGCTCATACACTCACTTTCACAGTCATGAATAGGCCAATTGAATGTAAGAAATCTACTCCTCTTCCAGTTTCATTCAATGGGAATTTTGTTACTGGAGTTTAATGGCTTTGGAGCAGACCCTAGAAGAACATCTCTGTCAGGAAAATAAACAGAATGCAAATACAGGAAAAAAAATTTGTAGCTGGTTCCCCTGGACATGTGCTTTTGGTGAATGACTGCCTGAGTAAGAACTACATTTTTGCAGGTTGCATTCATGGCTTCCATGGCTACTCACTTCAGCAACCAGAACAGTGGGATCATCTTCAGTAGTGTTGAAACCAACGTTGGGAATTTTTTTGATGTCATGACTGGGAGATTTGGTGCTCCAGTGAACGGTGAGTGTTTGCAAAAAATACACAGTGGAATTCTAGGGGCTATAGGGAGAAGCACAGGCAATAATATTGAGAAACCAGTTGACTGCCTTTAGACACGTCACTGAAAAGACTCACTCTACGTAACTCTTGCTACCTACTTTTAGGAAAATTGAACTGGAACCCTTAGCAAGCCAAGAGAGGGCTTGCCAGCCAGTGAGACTAGTGCTGGCATAAAGGCAGGAGGAATGGCCAGAGCTGGGGAGGGAGCAGTACTGTCTGCTTTGAGACCTTTAGCTCTTCAGCCACTGTGATGACATAACCATGGCCTGGATGTTGCAACAGCAGCAGCCTCACAGTTGCCTCCTCCACCTCCTGACTCCAGTCACTCTCTTCATTCCCACCTTCCACATGCCAGTTCAGCTGGGATCTGGCCTGCAACAGGTGTGTGGCTGGAAATGAGCCACTACAGTTTTTCCCAAGTTATTTTTCAGCTGCATCAATCCCCCCTCTTACACAGCTGTGGTGCAGGAAGAACAATAGCAGATGAGGGATGCAGGCCCATAACAAAAAACAAGTCATAGAATCACAGAATCATAAAATGGTTTGAGTTGGAAGGGACCTTAAAGATCATCTAGTTCCAACCCCACTGCATGGGAGGACACCTCCCACTAGATCAGGTTACTCAGAGCCCCATCCAACCTGCCCTTGAACACCTCCAGGGAGGGGGCATCCACAACTTCTCTGGGCAACACCTTCAAGTGTCTCACCACCATCATAGTGAGGAATTTATTCCTAATGCTTAACCTAAATCTACCTTCTCCCACTCTGAAGTCACTCCCCCTCATCCTATCACTCCATGCCCTAGTCAAAAGCCCCTCCTCAGCTTTCCTGTAGCCCCTTCAGGCACTGGAAAGTGATCTAAGGTCTTCCTGGAGCCTTCTCCAGACTGAACAGGCTAAATTCTCTCAGCCTGTCTTCACAGAAGAGGTGCTCCAGCCCTCGGATCATCTTTATGACCTTTCTCTGGATTCACTCCAAGAGCTTTATGTCTTGTGTTGGGGGGTCCAGAACTGGGCACAGTACTGCAGGTGGGGTCTCACAAGAGCAGAGTAGAGGGGGAGAATCACCCCTCTTGATGTCCTAGACATTCTTGTTTTGATGCAGCACTGCATATGGATGGCCTTCATGGCATATGTAAGCAAAGCCTGAAACCAACTGTCTTCACTTGCTCTTGCTCACCCTGCCATTGATACACTCATTGCTATGGGAAATGATATTAGATAAAAGTCAGGCCCTCCAAGTTTGCTGGAGCTCACCTTACTGACAGTTAATGTATATGTGGATGTCAATAAACTTTGACCCACAACGATGTAATTAATGACAGGTACAAACTCCAAGCTCCCATTGCAGGTTCAATGCTACAGACTTACTGTCCAGGAACCTGGAGCTTGTCTCCCTGCCTGATGGATTCTTGTAGAGCTCATGACACATAACATGGCTGGACTGACAACACTGTTTGCACCTTTTGGGCAGAGAAGGAGCTAAAAAGAACAAGGGTCATGGCAAGAGTGTGTAGTGCAAGAAGGGGAAGTGATGGCTGTGTCTGCACTGTTCAGGGTGTGGTGTGGCCAGGTGAGCAGCAGTGGGTGCTGCCAAAACCACTCATGCCCTACCTGACTGGGGGGACAAGCTGTCTGTCTGACAGCCTCTGAGGCCTGGCTGGCCTGGAGGCTGCCCTTCTGGGAGAGGGCAGGAGCAGGAAGGTGAGGAAAGAAAGGGAGAGAGGGGTCACGAGACTTAGCCTCTGGGAAACTCCCGTCACAGTGAGAAGGGCTGAGTGGTCCTGCCACACTCAAATACACTCATTTCCCTGCAACACGAGGTGGCTGAACCTCAGCCACATGCAGAATAAAGATGAATCAGACTTGGCACACTTGTGTAGGTTTTCCAAGAAAGACATGCAGGTTTGTTGCATGACTGCCTCCCTCTGTGAAGCAAACACTTTGTATTTGGTCATCTTCTCAGGGGTGTATTTCTTCACCTTCAACATGATGAAACATGAAGATGTGGAGGAAGTCTATGTGTACCTGATGCATAATGGCAATACAGTTTTCAGCTTATACAGGTAAGTGAAGGGCCAGGCCATTTCACTGCAAAAGACAGGTTTGCACAGAGGTGGCAGCTTCTGCACATTTCAAGAAATGTGAAATTGTTCAT